CTTTAATAATCTCAAAAATTGAACGATCACAGAGCTGCTATTAAGTTTACAGGCTAAGAGAGGTCACAGCATTTTAGTTTCTTTCATTTCTCGCACTAGAACTTATCTTCAACTGTGTGAACGGTGAATACATGTTTAGAAACTTTTCAGCAGTGGTGCCCCCAAGGGGTGGCCAATCGGGGGGCATATACCACTCTTTAAAAAATGTTGGTTACCCCACTGAACACTCCAGAGAGTTTTAAATGCAGCTCTGGAAAAGCTGAAGAGCTCACTGCACTGAACCCCAGAGAAGTCCTGATTATTCCTCCAAATATTGATTTATCAACTCTTCCTAACATCAGCTTTGTTGTTTCTAAATGAATATGAACTTGTTTTATTTGCATTATTTGAGGGCTGAAAGCTCTGAGCCCGTTTTGTTGTTTTGACCATTTTTCATTTTCTGCAAATAAATAGACATCTTTTGCTTGGAATTTCAGAGACACTCAAACATACCTATAAAAAGTGAAAATGTTGAAATTGTTTGTTAGATGGAGAATTGATGACAGCAACAGTGTTTTTTTTCTCCTTCAAAATCAGAGGCTTCTATGCACTGAGATCACGCTGCTGATGATTGGGTTGACGGAACGAAAACGACATTATATTTGCAGGGAAAACAGTGAACCTTTCAGTAGCTCCAGACATCAGTCAGGAAGTTGGCGTCAATTGAATGCACAATTCCAAAGAAACATGAGAAAGGGGAAAAAAGGTTCATTGCTGTTTAATAGGAGTCAGTGGGGGTAAAAAAACACAGATGTATCTGAATGTCTGGTTTCAACGTGTGCGATCTTAAAATATCGCCGAACTGCTTCAGGTGAACGCAGTCCGGCTTCGGAGAGAAGTCCAGAATAAACTCCACTGCCGGAAATGAAGTTTCTGGAGGTGAGCAGCCACACCCCCTCCACCCGAACGCCAGTCTCCGTTCACTTCGGCTCCCTTCAGTCGTACAGTGAGATGAACTGCCACGGCTAATTCTGCAACTGATCCCTCTCCTTCTGTCTCTCTCCCGAGGAAGGAAGCGAAAATGAGCGGGGATGGGAGGCGGTGTGGGCGTGCGGCGGTGTGGGCGAGCATTACAGACTGAGAAAGAGACGCCTCCCTTCCCTCCCGCACCGCCATCGCCACCCTCTACCCCCCACCAGTCCCTCTGTAGGCCGAGTTAGCTGTGACAGAGAGCGATGCCCGCCTCCCCTCCTTTTCCCATCTCTGTCATCCATTTCACTCCCTGTCACTCTTTAAATCCCCGTTTCAAACACAGCCCCATTATGAGGCGACACATTAATGCCCTCCGCCCCCCTCTGGTGCCACACCCCCTTCCAGATGATGATTCATTGACCTCCTTATCCCGTCAGACGACATGATGGGCATAGTGAGAAGAAATTAAATCTTAATTGCGTTTTCATCTTTGACAAATTCGCCTCGGCGGAGACGCCATATGCTCGCTCGGTTTCAGTTCAAACACGGGGAGACTTTCGCCGATTGCAGCACGTGACGTTTTCTCTTTTGTCTTGTTTCTCTTTTTCTCCCCTCCGCTTTGTGTGTTTTCCTCTCTATTCAGCAGGGAAACCTTGCATTCCTATAGATTTTTCACAGCGTTATTACATTATGGATTTTGCCTCCTCCAAGACAAAGTATAATAATGCGCTTTACACTGGGACTGTTTTTCATCACCGGCAGGGCCGAAGGAGTTTGTCTGGGTGCCTCTTGTGTGGTTATGAGGGTGTGTGGATGCGCCATACCGAGGTCTGGATGAGCACCTGCGTGCGTGTGTGTGTGTGTCCGTCACCACTTTTTTTTTTTTTTTTTTAATAATGTGCTGTCAATCCAGGCTTTGGTTATGGCTATTTCACTAACCCTCCCTAAGTCTCATAACGCGGATCCTCGGGGAGGCGGAATAACTCATCGGCGGCCGAGCCGCGGATCCCCAGGCAGGGAGGCAGAAATCGCAGTAATAAAGAGACAGAGGGTGGGAGGGATGAAAGTTGGGAGCATATTTGAACCTAAAGCTGTCATTTTGTTGGCTGATATAAGGCGGGAATGCTGATCGTTTCAGAGCTCCTGCTTGGGTGATTTCATAATAAAAAAATAAAAAAAAGAAGAGGGATAAGTTAAAGACATAATGATGTTAAAACGCAATAATATTTCTTGCTGTAAAGTAGGCAGATGTCATGTCGTTCAGAGGTTGTAAAAGCATGGAAATGTTCTTGGAGCAAGGGGGGAAAAAAAACAGTCAATAAAATAATTGAGCTGATTTAAAGGGGCGGTATTATGCATTATAAAATCTAAAAGACTTTGAACATAATGATTCACCGAACGCTGTTTTGAGAAAAGATTTGGAACGTTATACGCTGTTACTAAATGCACAAAAATGAACTGTTCTTTTGGTTTAAAGTTCAAAATTATAATGTAGCATGAAAAAAAAATCCTTCAAGGTTTGGACCAATCAAACACAGATGTAATTATTCTATGTAGATGACATATTGTTTAGAAGATATCACAGTTCACTTTTTCTTTTTTTACTTTTTTTATTTTTGAAACAAAAAAACATCTTTTCCTAAACAATATGATTATTCTTAATATTACTGGATACACTGTCCCGCCATTTTTGCTTGGCTTCTCTACCGTGGCACAATTTTGTGTACATGGCACGGTGACGGGTTTCGAGCAGCTGGCCAAATGCTTAACCAATAATGTTAAAATTGGCATTTGGCATCCGCTGCATATTTTCCTATCTGCCCAAAACCAAAGAATATTTTACAGTTTCTTGACAAAAATGTCCTGAGACATTATATTCGGTGGTTCCAACTATAAGCATGCTGCAGTCGCCAACATCACGCGTAAGGAATCTATTTATGAGTTTCACTTTCTGAAACGAGCGACAAAAAAACAACAGCAACAAAAAAAAAAAAAAAACATTAAGCGTGCCGCTTGAGTGCTTTATAACGATAATTTAATGTTTTCTGGAGCTGTATTTGCACCAATCGCCCACGCCGGACGAAATCCACACACGAGTTGTTGCGCTGTGACTAAGAAGCGGGGCATCTATTAATCAGGCGCGTTTGCACCGAGGCCATAATTGCCCTCATTTGTGACTGATAGAAAAAGCTCTTTTCGTAAGTACTGATAAAGTGGTCTCCACTCGCTTTAGCAGAGGCAAACTGCTGGAAGTGGAAAGTGCAGTCTGACACTGCGTCCGTGCTCTGTTTGCTTCAACGGGAGAGCAAACGTTATTTTCCTCCGAGGGAACAGAGAGGAAGACAGCAAGAGCTCCAGGGAGGGAAAGAGGAAAAGGGAGGGGAAGAAATGGAGATCATTATACTGTAAATTCTAATATTGCTGTGCGGGTGTAAAGCTCTCTTTCCCTCCTCCGTGTCAGGGTGAGTTTCTCTGTTCAATGCATGATCTCAAGAAAACAGTGAGTCACATGTCAGGGTATTTTTTGTTGTTGTTTTTGTTGCAATTTTAAGCTCTTCTTCTTTAATGGTGGCTTATAACAGCACTTGGAATATATCCTGGTTCTCGTTGTTGTTTCAAAGCAAAGCATCCTGGGTGAAATGATTCAAAATTGTCGCTTTATTTCCAGCTCCCCGCAAATTCAAACCCCGACATTCACCCTTTCACTTTGATTAGTTCAGCAAAGAGCTACACTGCACAATTCGCAGATTCACTTGTTTACTCCTTTCCTCTTTGGAATGTAGCTCTTTGCTTCCTAATCCAAACAAATTATGACATCACTGCATCATAATGTAGTTTTTTGTTGAGGTCATCTGAAAAATATTCAAAAAAAAAATGCGGCTTATGAAGCTGACACGCCTCACCGTGATGCTACTTGGCGTGCTATTGGCTAGCGATTCCAAAGCCACCAATCCAGGGGCACCAATTGTTTTCCTTGGGGCTGATTGGCCATGCCTGCAACAGCGGCAGAGGTCACGCTAACACAATTTCCGCTGTGAATATTAATGCACATTAATGTGTATCTGTTGCTGGAGCGACTAAAATAGGCGGATATAAGTGTCTTCAGAGGGATCTCAAGTAGAGCTGAACAATAAATCAGTAATAATACATATCGTAATGGACACTTGATCAATATCAATAAATAATACATATGATAAAACATTCAATAGTCAATAAATAGAATATTTACTGAACTCTGATCCAGAACCGCACTGCATTCTGGGAGATGTAGAAACTTTAGTGGCTAAACATTTAATGAGGAGCTCAGCAAGGCTGGTGGTATCAATTAACTCACTCACTCTTTGGTTACCTGGTAACAACTGGTTGCAGCAGCAGTAATTAAAACAAACTAGTCAATATCAATTGATATGGACTGATATGAAAGACTCATATTGTGATGCGTTTTCAGCCACATTGTCCAGGCCGAGTGTCAAGCGGTTGTTGGATTTTAGCTCTTTGCTTCCTAATCCAAACAAATTATGACATCACTGCATCATAATTAAAAAAAATTATTCCACATTTGAGAGGTCACTGGACAACTTGCTGGCCCCAGATGAGAAACGGTTTTCTTTCCCATTTTTATTTTATGCTTTTTCTTTCACCACTAATTAAAATAACAACAAAACAAAAAAAACACAAACAAGCACTTTTTTTGCAGCCATGCGATAATCCTTAGACATTAATACTCAGTGGGATGTTTACGTAGACTTATGACGTTTCCGGCATCATTTTATGTCTGAATGCAAAGCATCAGTAACTATTCGCTGATGACTTACCCAAGAGAGTTGCCTTGTTGTAAAGAACCATTTTAAGAAAAAGTGGGAAAAATATCAAAGCCTCTGTAAGGTTTTAATGCTGCCGGTGTTGGCCGACGTGGCCCGACGCTGACACCGCTTTGGTAGCGAGAAACTCTGAAATGTGACTTTACAGATTAGGGGCAACATGTACAATGTGTTTGATGAGCTAACGTGTTTCTGGGTTTGTTGCGGTACATGTGTGTTCGTACTCACAGATATTAGCCGTGCCCTTGGGAATGGGCAGGTAGGAGCCGGCACTCCACGCTCGCCCTTGGTAGCTCCTCTTACAGCGCCCGCAGTCAGGCCCGGTGGTGTTGTGCTCGCACTCGCAGCTCAACTTCTCTTTGTCAAACACGCAGCTGTTGGCGTGAAGGTTGCATTTGCACCTGTCAGAGAGGAAGAGGAGGCGTTCAGGACGGGGATGAAAGAGGACAACCACATCGACGTGGGGAAAGTTTTGCGTCTCCGGGTGAAGAACGCTTTTATTTATTTTGTCGGACAGTGGGGCTGAAAGGCAGGGCGTCCTTGACAAAGAGGTGGCGCGGGAACAAAACAGCAGCTACTTCAAGAGGCGCCGGTTCGAAGGAGACGGGCGACTGCACAAACAAATCTAACACCGTCATTTCCTCGATCCCTTTTCTTTGTCTCCTCCCTTTTGCCGGGGGAAGCCAGCTCCTTTTTTTAAAATTGTCCTACAGGAGGATGCCTAATTGTCACAGTCAAAAGGAGAGAGAATGGGGAAAAACAACAACAACAGCAAAAAGCAAGGCAATGTAAATTGTGGAACAATCTCAACGGAGAACAAAAAAGGCCTGTAGCCATGCGAGAAAATGAATGGCTCGGAGTTAGCCAGAGGGCCAACGGTGAGCGTACCTCCTCTGTGACAAATTAACATGAGATGGGATCTCACCAGCGTATTACCAGCGAGGATTTGGCTCCCTTAAGGTGCGCTGAATCCTCGCTCAAATCCTGCCTCCACCAGAGACTCTGGTTATCAATAAACCCGGCAGATTCAGCTGTGGCTGTGGCTACACGAGGCTGCCGGGATGACGCGTCTGCTCCGTTAATTCATGAGGCTCGAGCTTCAATGAGGAGTGAGACGAGACTGAAACTGAACTTTTGAGCCACATCCGAAACGCAACGTGAGGCGTCAAAGTGGCAGCGCACATCCTCCTGAACACACGGACAAGGCCGTGATGGTGCCGATCCTCAGCAACGACAGGAAAACTGAGTCTGTTGTAAGATGTTTGTAGAGGAGAGATTCTTTCAGCAGGACGAAGATCCTAAACGTCCTCTGCATTTGAGAATGTGTTATTAAAAAATACCCTAGTCGTCAGTTCTACAAAGTATTTACTAAGATATGCATAACCCTCATTTGTAGATTTTTATATAAAAATGTACATACACGAGGTACTACAGAACTTCAGCACATCAGCATCTCATACTTTCCGGCCGTGTTGTGCAGTTTGTGAGGAACGGCTCCGTTTTTGAGTTTTATTTAAGACCTCGGTAAACTGAGCCCGGCAGGGATCGGGGAGGGAAAAAGGGGAAAGGACTCAGATTTGATGAAATGCAATCCAACCTAAAGCTGACCGATGCTGCCAGAACGATGCAAATATATTGGCTCCGGCTCCGGCTGCAACGCGTCTAATGTTACCCGCCGCGCTCTGCAAAGCTCAAAAGTCCTCCCTCCCGATCCATAATAATAAAATCACAGTTTCGCCGAAGGTAAACAGATACAGAAAGCCGGCCGTGGCGTTCATTTCAGCTGTCCGCTTTTGTCTGCTGACATTTTGAGACGTATTACTCGTTCACGTGAAAATACCGGAGCTCACATTGGCAGAATTTTGTTGTGGCTGGCGCCACTTTATGCAGCATCCTACGTTCGTGCATTTTGTTGTCATGTTTTTGTTTTATATAATGCAGATTCTGGAAGTTGTTTGTTTAAAAAAAAGAAAATTACCAAAAGATTTACGTTTAGATCATCGTCGCCATTTTTGGAGTCATTGCTGAAGGTCACCTTGACTATGAAGCTCTTTAGGTGTAAAGATAAAATCCCCTGCAGCTTACCAAAGCAATATTAACTAAACAGTAAGACACAGCGGCCATAATGGGGGAAAGGTTGCTCAGGTCGAGGAGATAAAGTCAAAGGGAGATGCTTTGGGCTTTCTCCTCTCTCCAATGCAGAGGTAAGTTTTTGTGAGGGGTGGGGGGGAATAAAAAATTCCCTGTTTGTGTGTGCGTGCGCGTACGCCTGCATACACACCCTTTGTGGTTTAACCTTCAGCTTCTTTCAACATCGGCAACATTTTAATCAACGTCCAGGAATGGTAGCGCCGCCGGCAGAATGATGGAGGCCGCCAGTGAGGCCCGCGGGGCCGAGCAGCCGCTCCCTGAACGCGGAGGGGCCGAGCAGACGACTATTTAACAGCATTTGAAATGCCGCTCCCGCTTTTAATGTTACGTCTTCACCTCTTCTTGAAAAAAAAAAAAGAGAGAGCCACTTGTGTCGTTCTCCTGGCGTCTCTCTCCCTCCGTCCGCCTTTTAAACTCTGCTCCGGCATTTCCAGCTCGTGAATATTCATGTCACCCGAGAACGTCTTTGTTTTTTGTGCGGCGCTCTCAAAGCGAAATTGCTCAAGGCTTCATAACCACCCATGAGCTAAAGATCCTGATATGTATTCATGAAACTCCCCCACCAGGGAGGCAGCAGCTCGAAATGCAAAACTAGCGGAGTAATATAGTAATAATAATACCAACGCTGGTAATAATAAAAATGACTTCACAGAAGTTCGGATTTGATAAAACTTCTCAATGAGATGAGAGGGGCAGGTGGAAATTTATTTATTTTTTTTCCTTCTCGGCTGGTTGAGCAGCGCTGTCCACTGAGACCGTCCACACCTGGAGCAGTTTGTCTTCGACCTCTCCGGTAATGGGATTCTGACTGACCCGAGACAGCTGCTTCTCCTTCTCGCCTATAGGACGTTAGCAACAGCAAACAAAAACAAGCAGACACAAAGTTTTTCCAAAATCCCAGGCTTCCTGCCCTCGCACTGGGTTTTACGTCTATGAACGGTAAATGCGGCAGAAAGACTCGCGAGAACGACGATAGACCAGTTTTCTGTTCGGGTGTTGTCACCAGGTCTTCATGAAATATAGAGATAAATATCGATGCCGTTTTCTCAAAACTGTATTTTACCACAATGGCACCCTAAATACATGCAAAAAGCAGTGGAAAAAGTAATCACCCCTTACGCCTTATAACTGCTTGTGCAGCATCAAATACTATCATGTGTTTCACATAACAGGCAGAGTCTTTTACAACACTGTCAACGTAATTTTGATCCACTCATTTTTGAAGAAGTCCAACATTTTTAAATTCAACAATGTTGGACTTCTTTTTTGTTTTCTTTTCTGACAAAGGGCTTAATTCCAGATTGCAACTATGCCGCTCCGAAATGTGAGTGTTTCTCAAACTCCATCGTTCATTTCAAGCTTCCACAATATGGTCCAACCAACGCAAGTTGAAACCACACGATGTAAACAGGTGGCTACAAATTTCACTGTTGCTATTTTGGGCAAATTTCAACAGAACTTATGCATTAAGGAAGTTTATGCAATTTCCATGAGTTAAATAAGGAGAAAAACCTCATTAAATTGCCATAAACAAGATGAGCGTGGATTAAGAGATGTGTCGTTACGCCGTCCTCTCTTCATTTTTTGTGAAGTCTTTATATTTATTCCTTAATTTTCAATGTAGTTTCTAAACATGAAAATATGATTTACTATTTTGGAATGTCCCAGATTCACTTTTCACTTTCACTCCATACACTTGGAGCACCACTTGACCAATCGGCGAAGCGATCTAACGTGGTTTCAAGCGGCCCGTTTATATTTAACCAACTTAATTCTGAGAGATCCTTTCCGTTTCTGCTCAGAGCCGAACGCACAAACCGCTAATTAAATGCAATTACCCACGATGCAAGATTACAACATCCCCGATGAGATGAGCCGCTGATCCCAGCAAATTGAGCAGACTAAAGCCAACATGGTCCTTAAGTGCGTTAAATAAGTGAAGCAATTAAATTCCTATGAAACGCCCAGGTGTTTTCATACACAAGCCAATTGGGTCAGACAGTGAGATAAAAAACACGTTTTTTATGGGGTTTTTTTGTGCCTCGTGTCTGCATTCAGCACTGGGGGTTGAGAGCGGCAGGCGGTGGTAAAGGGCAGCTGCTTCCGAGGCATTTACAGCTTAATTATCAATGACAAAAACAAAACGGCAGCGTGGCAGAAAAAAGTGGAGTAAGCTCTTGTTGAGAGAACGGATAATTACACACGGAGAGAAAGATCTTTTTTTAAGGACGCAACTGTATAACCACGTACTCTTGATTTCTTCCTCCCTGCCGACGTGCTGCACGCCAGTCTGTAGTGAATCAACATGCCGGCTAACCTGCTATCTGCTAATTGTCGACTCAGTTTCTCGCCAACTGGCCTGAAGGGCGTGCTGGCCAGGGGAAAAGGTGTTAGATCTCAGCAACTGCTCTCCAAGGTTTAGACTTTAGCATCTAACTTTACCCCCCAATTAAACCCGTCATTCCCTTCCCTCCGTTCGGCCCCTCAAACAGTTGAAGAAATGGTTGGTCTTCTCGAGTTCTCCGAAAGGATAAATCTTGGATTCATTTGGTCTGAGTGGAAATGTAAGTTTAAAGTTGACAGATGCAAACTCGCTCGGAAGGTGAAATTAGGCGAGCGGCTGATGGTTTCCTGCGCAGGCTTAGCTAGCCCAATGACTGAACTCCTCTCGTTCGCTGGAACTCTATTCAAGTAGATTTTGTTCTGCAGAGAGATAAACACCTCTGGATGATCAAATCAAGTTTTTTATTATGGCCTCAGCTCCCCTCCTCTTGCACATTTGAGCTTGTCTTTCTTCCATGCGCACTCACACGCCACATCCAAGCATTCGCATCACACCACTGATACGGACATCCGCCATCCAGTGTTGTTTTAGTGAAATAAATATTCCTTTTTTATTCACTGTAACCACAGCATGGTCTCCCGTTTTGTTCTGACTTTGAGCGAGTTGTAACAAGCCGAAACGAGTAAAAAAAACGACTCCCTCTTTTGCGTCGTGGTATGTTATTTGTCAAAACTAATTAGTGTTAGTTTAGCGCACGTTGCCTCAGCGACTCTTTGATGCAATTCTCGGCTCTTGAACATACATATTCACGCCGTAAATCCTTCTCTGAGCTATTTTGTGTTTCGTTCGTTCCTCGGTTCTGGTGCAACCACTCAGAATCAGTTCAAACTATTTCAGCCTCATTTCCACGTTTCTCATGAACAAAACTTTGTCTCCTAACATTTACACATCCTGCTGAACTGTGAG